TTTTCTTCGTATATAATCGGCACCATCAACGGGGCCGTTTTCGAGGCAGACGTGCGATAGACGAAGCAGTGGAAGTGGTATGACTTCATGCTTTGCGACCCAATGTACCATCTTCCGATGGCAGCGAGCCCTTCCGTCCGATTTTCCGGACGAGAATACATGCGCCGTCTACAGCGCCGCGTATGGCCACCTATTTCTGCCTCCAAGCCGCCCGGAGCGATGCGAGTGGTACAGAGTTCGACGCGAAAAAATGCCCATACTCATCTTCATCGCGCCGTACCCATTCCGTCTGGTTTTTCGCCTCTTTTTTCCGGGCTATTCTGGCCGAATCAGTCGTCCAGCGCCTCGATCGGGCTGGACATTTGACTGCATAGAGGCGTCAATTTCTTCATCAATCCAAGCTTCCTGTTCCACAAATTGTGCGCAGCTCAATTATCTCTACAGGTTTCACGTATCGACAAAGGGTGAAGGTCGCGTGCAGGGCCAGAGAAGATGTCATGCCAATTGCCCAGGACACAAGGCCAGCATCAACTTGAATAAAATTAATCGCGGCTAACTTTGTGCTTACAGCAACTGAGCATGCACAATGGCTCAAAAGCATTTAGACAGACGCACACACACACATATATGCGTGTGTGTGAATGTGTGTCTGCTGGAATATGTATTTGAACGCGTTCGTGTGTATGAGATGACTCTCTCTCTCTCTCTTTAAATATATTTATTTACCTTTTTATATTTATATATATATATGTATATGTGTGTGTGTGTGTATGTATGCCTAAAAACACACATATTCAGTATTGGCGTCGTTTTAGTGTGCCTATATAAGGGTGTGTTAGTGGGCGCACACCCCTGAGTGTAGGGTTGTGGAATGTGGTACAAAGCTGTCGAGGATAAATGCAAGAGCACGCAACTGAGGATCACACTCGAAGCGCGCACTTTACGCAACGTGAAAAAAGATCACCGCATCTCTTATGCCCAGACTTAGTCGTTATAGCAACTTGAAAAACAACCCGACAACAAGAGACAATTTTATTTTTGAGCAGATAAGTATGCCTGCCAGGTATCGGGTCGGGCTAGTAGCCATGGCGAGAGGAGAAAATAGCAGAGGGTTTGTTGATGGCTTGGGTATTGCGCCCGACTGCAACAAAAACAACTGATCCGGCCAAGAGCCGAGATGATGTTCAAGCATAGCCTGTATCAGTGTCCTGTGTGCAGACGTCAATCGCGATATCCACTTTTGTCCTACAGACGCATTTTACTCAGCCGATATCGATAGACCGACTGGGGCAGATGAGCAGATGAGCATATGAGCGCTCGAGCAGTGCGTCCGCCACGAGTAATCGGTCTGTCGGCCCTGGCTCGAGGCCGGGCTTCCGACAAGTGGCCGAGACGCAAGCAGAAGAGTTGAACCTAGACTTACTTTACCTGAGCCTCGTTTTCGCAACTTGATTGTGTTGTCAGGGTACCCGCGAAAACTTAATCCTGTTCAGAAGTGGGTTGACCTCGTTGTCACAACTTGGTCTTGTGGTCAGGGAGACTATGCAGAACGCACTGAGTCCGAAGTCGTCTGCCATAGTAGTTGTCATGATCCCCAGCATCTGACAGTGGACTTGATATATTCTCAGACGTTTCGCCGGCC